CTAGTTTTTATTCTTCAGCCAATGTATTAAAAATGTAAAACTCTAAACGTGTCATTTGCAGACTGTGATCGAGTTAATTAGCCTGTTAACGAGCTGATTGGATCCCACCTGTAACGAGCTCGGCTGATTGGTCCCGTGTTGCTGTTCTTTGTTTGCTCGTACGTTCCTCAGATCTTCTTCTTAAACACGTTTATATCTTTTTTTAATTAGTGACTTCTACTAATTAGTGGACTGAATATGAATGTCTGACTTAAGTGTCTCGTTAAAGCGGCAGCAGCGTGAACACGTGGCTTTAATTTAACTTCTTTCCTCCCCGTTAAACCTCCGTTTCATATGAAAATGAACTTTTCTTGGCGGATATAAATGATTCAGTCTATTTCTGATCAAAGCCGAGCAGCCGGCGTCACTTCTTGTTGGGATTATTTAAAACAGTGGGATTCTTTCATGTGATGCTGCTCCGCTCGCTGTGTTCCTTTAATGTGCTAATTACATACAGTAAAACCTCCTTATTGCTCCGCCGCCACTTCAGCGCCTTCAGTGAGCTTTGATAGCGAACGTCACGCACTTCCGACGCCTCTCGGTTCACTGGAGACGATTTAACGCAGCAAAGATCAGCGACGAACTCACTTCTAGTAAAACCAACTCTGATCTGAGGTCAGATCATTTCTGACTGTTTTATTTCATTTTTTACAATTTAATCCTAAAAGTTAGTTCCTGTTCCATCCTGATTATCTACTGCTCTGATTTTATTTATTTTTTATTTTTTAAATTAATTTTACAAATTGTTGTGTGGTTTTCTGTCTTGCTTTTTAGTATTTTATATTTATTTTTGATTTTATTTTATGAGTAAATTATTAACAATAAAATATTTTTTATTTTTCTGTTCTTCTTTTTTTGTATTTTATATTCATTTAATTTGTATGAATTAATATTTCATTTTTTTGCCATTTTCTGCTTTGTTTTATTAGCTTTCTATATAGTTTTAGTTCTTTTTATTATTTCATTTTTTTTGTCCTGTTTTCTGTTTTGCTTTTTTTGTTTGTTTTAGCATTTTACATGGATTTTTAATTATAATTTTCTTGCGATTTTACTGATTGATTTATAACTTGTTTAGAACCGTTTTCTGTCTTGCTGTTAATAAATTATATTTTTATTTTTCTTTTTTTTTTTTTTTTTTTTATTTTTAAAAATAAATTATATTTTTATTTTTCTTTTGTTTTATGAATTAAGCGAACGAGTTTCTCTTCTGTCTTGCTCTCTTTTATTTTTTTAGTTTTACTAATTTAATTTTACAGTTTTTTCTCCTGTTTTCTGTACAACTTATATTTCTTTTTTTGTGCAGCAGGTGGATGAACTACAGATGATCTATAAATACTTTTTTCTTTCCATTTTTCATTGTTTTGTACTATATTATTGATTTCAAATCAATTCATTTAGATTTTTTGTCACATTTAAACTGATATTGTTTTATATTTTTTAGTAATTATTTCATTTGTCTTCATTTTTCATATATTTCATATATATCTCATTCATTATTTTTATTGATTTTATTTTATTTTCCTCTCATGGATTCTGTTGCTGTCTGATGCTGCAGGTTTTTGATAAACTCAGAGGAAAAACTCCTCAAACAGCTGGATAGAATAGTTTTTTTCTTAATAATTTTATATAATGTCATTTCTATTTTTATGTCTGTACATGTTGGTTTTTATTTAAGTTATAAATATATTATTATATTGTTGGTGTTAATTTTCACATCATTTTACAGCATTTAATTTCTTTATGTCTTTTTTTATTTTATGTTTATATTTTACATTTTTCATTTCATTTTATACAATTTTGCTTTTTTATTTCATTTTTTTTATCGATTTTTATTTAATTTAACTTTGTGTTATTTTATTTTCATTTCATATCATTTCTATTTTTATTTTTATTTTTATTTTATTCATGTTTACATTTTATATTTTTCATGTCATTTTAAATCATTTGTGGTTTATTTTTATTTTACTTGTATTTATTTTATTGTGTTTTCCTCTCACATGGATCCTGCTGCTTTCTGATGCTGCAGGTTTTTCATTAACTTAAATGAAGAACTCCTACAAACAGCTGGAAGCAGTGAACTAACCTCCTCTCTCCCTCCATCCCTGATGTCTGTCACTAATCTGAACCTTTCCTTCACCTCTCCATCACCTCGGTGTCGACCTTCTAACCCGCTGCCTGCTGTGTCCTCAGGTGTGGTCACGGCGGTCGTCTTCATCGCCGTCTGCGCTCTGGCCGTCATCAGCCGCCTGCTCTACCAGCAGCGCCGGGCCCAGCGAGGCGGCGCCGGAGGCGGCGGCGGCGGCGGCGGCGTGAAGGACGAGCACAGACACAGCATGTACACGGACTACAGGACTGAGCTGCACCTCCACAACTCGGTCAGGGACAACGTCAAGGAGTACTACATCTGAGCGCCGAGCGCCGCCGGAGAGCCGCTAACTTACCTCGACGCGCTGAAGGACTCGCGGGCGGACGCGTTGCCGCCGCCGCCGCCGCCGCTGCAGGGTTTCCTCCGACAACTCCTCCCCCAGAGACTGACGCCTGTAGCCTGTAACCCCCCAACTCTTTATACGCTCCTGTACAAGCAAGTGGCTGAACCCTCGCAGCTGTTAGTGTTATTTGATGTCGGTGAATTGTCAGAATTCGAGCTACTGTGGTTTCTGTCATTGCAAAAAAAACGTGTAAAGCAAAAAGTGTTGGGACGGACGGACGGACGGACGGATGGACGGATGGATGGACGCCGCCGCCGTCCGTCCAGAAGGCGCCGCACGACTTCAAAACGTTCTGTCTGAAACCCTCCGATGCTGAATCCCTCCACGTCTCAGCGGGACTCACTAAACCGTACTTGCGAGTCAGGAAATGTAGGCCAGGCCTGTAAGATATGCGCGCATTCGCTGCTGTATTTGTTTTTCCGGTGGTGGTGAGTGTTGTAGAAGAAACGGGGACGATACTGCCTATACTGTATGAGTGCCTAATTTGCATATTGCATTTTTTATTTTAACTTTTTAGAAGTTATTCATGTGATTTGCACAAAAGGCAGTCACATTTCCATAGAGAGGAGCTTATTGTCATTCAGCTCTGCAACCCGCAGCGGCGCAGAACAAAAAAGAAAATTGGAATTTTTCCATTCATGCACGACCTTCCGCCGGTTGACCCTCAGCGACGGCGACCGACCGCCGGCAGCTTCCGAGCGCTTGTTGTGTTTTTTTCTACTAGCAGCTCGGAGGAGAGAAAAAAAAACCCTAAAAAGTCCATTAAATGCAGAAAGTTTGGGGTCTTTGTGAAGCAGATGTGCACCAGAGGCCTCGTTTATCAAACTGTGCATAGAAAGAGCCGGGAAGTGAGAAACGGGCGTGAAGGCAGCCGGACCGGAGACGTTTCATGTCTGAAAGGCGCCTTTCTGTCCAGCCTCAATTCCTGCAAAGTGCTCCAGAGTCTGCTGGAGAAGTGGAAAACTGCTCCGATGCAGGTTTTTGATGCCTTTCTGCAGCTTTGTAGCAAAAATTGGAGGAAATGTGCAGAAACCCGACATGCACGGTGCAGAAATAGATGTTTTATTCATTTCAGGGGAAGTTGAAGGCGTGCAGCGGCTCAGACGAGGTGAATTCGAGGAGAAATCAGGAAACTAATGTGCAGAGAAACCTAACAAATGGTGCAAAGTCTCATTTGTCTGCACAGGAGTTACAGATTTGTGTGTATAATGAGCATAATGTCTCAGATTAGAAGTCCAAATTCACCTTTTTTCTTTAAACTGCAAAGTGCACGAGAGCAGAAAACTGCTCCGACGCAGGTTTTTATTAGAAATGGTTCCAGATGATTTAGAATTCGTCCAAATGATGAAAATCTTTCAGAAGAAACTCAAAGTGTGTCCAAAATAACCACAGATGGTCCCAAATGTGTCCAAAATGACCCATAAATGGTCCAGAATAACCTTGTTCAGAATTCAAACCTCATCCGACGCGCAAATGTCTCAAAATTTCTCAAAA